CACAGCACTCTACCCAGGGGGACAGCTTGAGGCTCTGTCAAAAAAAAAAGAAAGAAACTGCTTCACACAAAAAAGCCTATCTGCCCATTTTTCAACTGTTTCAAAAAAGTTGTTTGTTTGTTTGTTTGTTTTCAAAAAAGTTATCTGCCCATTTTTCAACTGTTAGATGGTATAGCAGTGCCTAGCCTTTCTCCAGAAATAGCTTATTAAAGAGGAAGGTGGAGATGTTTAGAAGTCATGCCTCCTGTGAGCAGGGAGAGTAGAGTGTTGCCCCTCCTCCCATTTGTCCTGAACATCACTCCCCTCCCTTGCATGTCCATATTCTGCCAGACCCTGAGGCTCACTTCAGGTGCTACCTCCTCCATTGACACTTGGCCTGCCTGAGTCCTCTTCTCTCCCCTGCTCTACTTCCCACTGTGCATCAGAATTAATTTCTCCCAGGCGGTGCCTGTGGCTCAGTGAGTGCAGCGCAGGCCCCATGTGCTGAGGGTGGTGGGTTTGAACCCCGCCCCAGCCAAGTGCAACAACAACAAAAAAAAATAGCCGGGCGTTGTGGCAGGCGCATGTAGTCCCAGCTACTCAGGAGGCTGGGGTAAGAGAATTACCTAAGCCCAAGAACTGGAGGCTGCTGTGAGCCGTGACACCACTGCATGCTACCAAGGGCAACAAAGTGAAACTCTGCCTCCAAAAAAAAAAAAAGAATTAATTTCTCCTTTCTTTTAATTTTCATGTACTTCATGCCTCTTTTTTGTGCATTTTCCATTTCTCATTAGTTATTTACGTGCTAGACGATAAGCTCCTTATGGCTATGGACCATGCCTTGCTCATTTGTTGAATCAAAGTGCCCAGGTATTGGGCTACTTATGATTTTAGGAAGTCACTGCTCTAATCAGCTGGCCTGGAGAACCTCAGAGGGGATGAATTTAATCAAAACCACTGAAATCTGAACTGCTCAGAAAAAAACCCAATAATGTTGTTAGCCTTTATCTGTTTGTTTATTGTCCCCCTTTTCATCCTTAAATATTCCTTTATGTACTTTGTATTTCACCTGGTTCCAGATGGGGAAGAAAGAAAAGGAGGAAAGAAGCAGAACTCTACATCATACCACTACCATATTCCTTCGCTTTCTAGTATGTTGATGTATTTATGTGTTATCAGAATTCTTGGTTTTCTTGAAAGGTCTTATCTGCTTAAAAAAAAAAAAAAATTCCCAGAGGACATTTTGGGATTGTCTGAGAGTCTGATATTGTCAGCACTGATGTCATGGTCGTGTCTCTGCATTTTGGAGCTGGGTTGGAGCTTACTTCATAGACTCGTATGAGGTCCAGATAGGTTGAGAGAGTGGTCTGAAGGGACAGGTAGGGATTACAATAGGCTAGAACTTGTCTTTCCATTCTGTCACATTACCTGATCAGTATTTTTTTAGGAGATGAGGTCTTACTAGGTTGCCCAGGCTAGTCTTAGAACTCTGGCCTCAAGCATTACTCCCAAAGGGGTAGGATTCCTGGCGGGAGCCATGGTGCCCACTGGCTTGACCAGTCTTGGGAGTTCCTGAGGGGTATTCCTCTCCCTTTTCCTGAGTGAAACCAGTCTTTGCAAAAGGCAGTCTGGGAGCCCCATTCAAAGGTAGCTTCCATTTCAGAACTAGAGGTTGAAAATGTAGGAATTCTCATAGAATTGGTGTCTAGGAGCATGAAAAGGATGATTCTTCTTAAAAGTTTGGTAGAGTTCAATTCAGCAAACGTTTATGGATTACCTGTTGTATTTTGTTTTGTTTTAGACAGAGTCTTAACTGTGTGGTTCTCAGTAGAGTGCTATGGCGTCACAGCTCACAGCAACCTCAAACTCTTGGGCTTAAGCAAAGAGTTTAGTAGTCCTCAGCCTCCCAAGTAGCTGGGACTACAGGCTCCCACCACAACGGCTGGTTGGGGTTTTTTTGTTATTGTCATTGTTGTTTAGCAGGCCCTGCCCATTGCATCCACCAACCTCGGTGCATGTGGCCAGTGCCCTAACTGCTGAGGTACGAGCTATGAGCCTTGATTAACTGTTAACATTACTGTCACTAAGTGGGTGCAATGGACAAATAAGACTTTAGTCTAGGGCAGTGCCTGTGGCTCAAAGGAGTAGGGCACCGGCCTCATATGCCAGAGGTGGCGGGTTCAAGCCCAGCCCTGGCCAAAAACTGCAAAAAAAAAAAAAAAAGACTTTAGTCTAATTAAGAAGATTACTTTGGGGCGGTACCTGTAACTCAGTGAGTAGGGCACCAGCCCCTACCAAGGGTGGCAGGTTCGAACCCGGCCCCAGCCAAACTGCAACAAAAAAATAGCTGTGCCTATAGTCCCAGCTACGCAGGAGGCTGAGGCAAGAGAATTGCCTTAGTCCAAGAGCTAGAGGTTCCTGTGAGCTATGATGCCAGGCACTCTACCAAGAGTGACAAAGTGAGACTCTGTCTCTAATAAAAAAAGATTATTTTGTAAACAGGTAATTTTTTTTTTAATTGAAATAGGTAATTCACACTAGGTTTGGTGGCTCACGCTTGTAATCTTAGAACTCTGGAAACCTGAGGTGGAAGGATTACTTGAGGCCAGGAGTTCAAGACTAGCCTATGTAAGAACAAGATCTCATGGCTCGGCACCTATAGCTCAACCGGCTAAGGCGCCAGCCACGTACACCTAAGGTGGCGGGTTCGAATCCCCAGCCCGGACCCGCCAAACAACAATGACGGCTGCAACCAAAAAATAGCCGGGCGTTGTGGCGGGCGCCTGTGGTCCCAGCTACTTGGGAGGCGGAGGCAGGAGACTCGCTTGAGCCCAGGAGTTGGAGGTTGCTGTGAGCTGTGATGCCACAGCACCCAGGGGGACAGCTTGAGGCTCTGTCTCAAAAAAAAAAAAAAAAAAAAAGAACAAGATCTCATTTCTACAAAAATAGAAGGTGTTGCACAATTATAGTCACAGCTACTCTGGAGACTGAGGCAGGATGGTCACTTAAGCCCAGGAGTTGGAGGTTGCAGTGAGCTATGATGATGCCACTGCACTGTATGTAGCCAGGGTGGCAGAATAGGACGTGTCTCCAAAAAAAAAAAGGGTAATTAATTCATAGGATTCAGATCCAGAGTTTACAAGAGGGTTATGTACAGTGAAGAGTTTCCTCCCTAATAGCAACCAGTAGTGTGACTTGTGTTTTCTAAGGATGTTCTCTGCATGTATAAGCAGATACGTGCCCACATATCTTTCCTCTTATTTTTTTCTTTTTATTGAAATGGTACTTTATTATAGTCACCCTTGATTTTTTTTTATTTTCTGCATACTATTCTGTGGGTGTACTGTAGTTTACGTAGACAGTTCTTTTATCTTTCAGAGTATTTGGGCCAATGCAATTTTAGGTGGTATGGCAGGTGAGGGGTCCTGGTGAGCAGTGTGTGCTGTGGGAACCTGCAGGAGAAAGGCTTGTGAACCTAGCCGAACCTCAGGGGTGGAAGGAGGAGGCAGATGTTCTTGTCAGAAGGCACTCACAAGCCAGGCTAGAGCTTGCATCTGCTCAGTGTGCAGGGCAGCTGTGTACGGTTTGTGTCCCCTCAGGCATAGAGTAGAGGCTTCCAAGCACACAAATAAAGCAGAGTGTTCTTAAACTTGTGGCAAAAATGTTCTCCTTGGTGATTCCTTGGTTGCCAGATTAGTGCCAAGAACTTTGAGGCACAGAAAAGAACCAGAAGACACCTCCTGTCTTCAGGCCAGGGCAGCCCTGCAGATATGCTACAGAGGTCAGCAGATCTGGAGGGCAGGAGGGGTCTGAGTGGAGAGGGAATGAAGTCATCCTGGTGGTGTGGCACCCAGTCCACCTGTGCCTGGATGCCCACAGGTCTTATCTCGTTGCTGTCTTTCAGATGGCTGAAGAACATGGAAGCTCCAAGGGCTTGAGATACCTTCCCAGGTCCCAGAGCCATGGGTAGAAC